AGAGGAACACCTTTTGTCAATTTCCCTCTTGGGTTTGTTGTGGGGATTGATTGTGGGGTCTTTGTGATATCATTTAGATGACCACCTCCGCCTTGGTTGTACAATTTAACTGCAACAGGTCTCTAAAAGCTACGTTAATAATTATGAACAATGAACTAATGGGCTGCTGCCTCAGAAGTCATTAAAGAACGACTTTTGGTCCGAAATCTGAAGAGATGGCCTCTAAACCTAAAGACTTCATTCTTCCGAAATCGTTAGCTTTTCTTTACGTTTAGTTCACTCAAGGCATTGCAAAACGTGCATGCTCACCGGCATGACACAAAAGGGCGATTCTTGAGCTTATGAGCATGCACTCAAGAAATAAAGTTGACTTGCGTTGGATCTGTATCCATGGAGCGAAACGGCTGCGTGATATTTGGAGAACACCAGACAGTTCTTTGTGTCTTTTTGGTGAATTTTCTGCCATAAGTGATGACCGCAATGGTCGCTCAGTACATGGGTCAGGAGGTTACAGAATTGCTTGAGAACGATCGGGTTCGTGATTGATGGGCTGGGGTCGATAGCAAAAGTCGCTGGTGACTGTTGCAATGCAATGAGGTGCATGCAGCGAAATTTTTCGGCAAGATCCGAGTTGGCAGGGCCTGACAAAGTCCAAAAATGGCAGCCTGTTCATCTTTTGTATTATGGTTTTTCACAACTCAGTTGTGAAAAACGTCAGTGTGGAATTGTTTCTGCGCTCAGGGGGCTTTTTTCCAATTAGATGCTGCCAGTGATTTCACTTTACAAAAGAGATCTTAGAAAATAAACGCACTAGAGGTGTCGTGCATCTGCCAAAGCCTTCTTCCCTCACTTTTGATTCGCCATGGCTGCGCTCGCTATCGCCGCGTGCTCTCTGCCGCAGCTCAGATCTCCACGACTCCCTTCCGGAGCTCCGGCTGCAACTTGATATCGTAGGCAGCGCCGACCGCTGCTTGCTCTCCCCACAGCACCGATCGCCTCTTGCTCTCGCCCGCAACTCCGATCGCCGCGTGCTCTCTCCGGCATCTCGAATCGCCGCTTGGTCTCCCATGCAGCTCCCATCGACGTGACTCCTCTTCACATCTCGATAGCCGCGGCGCCCTTCCAGAGGCGTCGCACCAATTAGGACCACGTGCGGTCTGGCGACAGACCGGCGCCTGTACAGCGCCGGTTTGATGCCGGTGTGGCGCCGGTCTAGCAACACCCCTAATGTACAAGGGGCGGCCAGAGGACCCCCTTTTGTCAATATACCTCACAGATGACCCCTTTTTGTCGTCTTCTCATTTGTCTGATATATTTTTTGACAAATAACACTAGTAATATGTTGATTATGTCATGTTTATGTTCATGAATACGTGCAAGTATCGTGTGGCGCGATGTTTTCCTTTATTACACTGTGTACCTTAGTACACGATTTTGGCACTCAACACAGGCCAAGCGACGACTTCAAATAAGACTTTCGTCGCTTATTTGTCGTCTATCACATATCCACAGTCTTTTGTCTTCATGTTGTGCGTCATATTATCATTTTGTAGCCGTATTCTTATTTAATCAGTGCGTTCATGAAGGCAGGCCCTGTTACATGATGAGACCAAAGATGAGTGTGCGACTCGTTTCGCCTGCATTTCTCAACAGCCGCCAGCGCCACCACATCGCTGATCATTTTTTGCTGCCATGGATTCAAAGCGCGGAACCATGTGTGGTGCGAGTTTCGCGGTCTCTCTCTTCTTGTGTCTCCGTTCATCCAAATTCTCTGCAGTTCGTTCTCTTGCGCTGCACCAAAGTTGGTTCAGCACACAAAAATTGAGCTGCGGCAAGTTCTGGCTAAGCAGAGGCCCAGAAATTAGAATATTTCTGCCGCAGTTACGCAACTTACTCAGTTGATTTGTCGCAGCCATGTTTGAAGCAAAACATCGTGTCTCGTTGTGGTTGAATATGAGCACGTACGGCGGCAATTAACCTGCACCTTTCCAGATGGCCAGCCTCAACCTGGGCGAGGAAAAATGACACAAATTCCGTGTCCCAATTACCTAATTTGCCCTGTTTCAATGTGATGTAACTATGTACCATATATGCCGTATAGTAGCCCGTAACCTGCCTGTCAATAGTTATCCCGTTGCCGCGGTGGCGTCGCACTGGAGTGGCCAATGGGGCGTTAACGTTGACCACAATCACGGTCGCTTGTCGTGTGATGTCACACAGTTGAGCGCCGTCTGTTGTAATTCCCAAATTGCTCGTTCCCGGAACGCGCCAGTACAGGTACACGATGATTGATTCTGACAGGTTCGCACCGTGATTCCGACGTGCTCTGACACTATTCGGACGTGACAAAATGCCACTGGGACTTGCGTCAAGAATATACAAGCGCGCGTGTTGAGATGGAAAATGGCGGGTGGCAGTATGCAGCCAGCTTGGTCTTTTCGTTTACGTTTTCGCGTTTACGCTTGTACGCCTAGAAACGTAAAAATGCAAAAGGGGATAGTTTTACGGCTATATCTACTGCTCGTTGGGACACCCACGTTACATGATGAGTTCGCATACAGTGGTCAGTCCTCCGCCCCCTCGAGCACCAGCAATGCAGCGCCCACATCACCTCGGCAAGGGCAATGACGTCGTTGAACAAAAAGTCGCTCTCTGTCCATTCCAGTGCGTCTGACTGCCACTCCCCTGACTTCTCGAGTCTGCATGTATTGTCTTTGCGTACATCGGGTCAAAGTTTACGTATTTTTACTCGTGTTTATGCGTAAAAAGTAAATATTGTTTTTGCGCGTAAATGCGCGAAAACACGCATAAACACGTGTAAATGCGCGTAAAATATCAGTGTTTACGCCGTGAAGACCAAGCCTGGTCTACAGCGGGGCTGCAGCAGTGGCCGCAGCTGCAGCGCTGGTAGTGGCGATTGCTTTGTGAGACTGTGGCATTGTCTTGAGGATGGCTGCTGGCACTGTAACTGGAGGCATTCTCCAGAGCATGCGTTGCTTTGCGGTGGACGGCGAGAGTGATTGTCAGGCGGCAAAAAGACAGCGCCGTGTTTGCCAGGACGGGGCCAGAGCCATTAATCTTGAGCGGAATGCACCCAAAAGGTGAGTGTATTACATTTATCTTTTGGATGTATCCTGCTTCAAAAGCATCATGCCGTGCGCTCCACGCAGGGCAGACTGCTCAATTTCCACAGTCCTTGCACCTAGCCGAGTATTGCGCAACTGCCGCAAATCGTGCGTTTTCAATGTAAACTGTGTTCTAACAGAGACGGGTGATGCAAAACCATTCAATGCTTCGGTGCAATCACCACTGTTCGGCTCCAGCACTTGTACTGCGCGTGGTTCATGTAAAGCTTACTTCGGGCCAGCGCTTTAAGATCAGTGAACCAAGAACGTGATGTATTTTGGATGGCCACCGCATGGTCTAGCCCCATGGATCACCGGTAATCATCACCACTTTACGCACTAGGGTTTCGCGCTTGATCGATTGAATTATTTGAAACCGTATAGTTGTTATGTGAATCTGCTTAGAATGCAGCAAATCGCGTTGTCTATTCCCACTTTTGGGGCGCCCTTTTTCACTGGTGGAGTTGACTCGCTCATGCGAGGAGTGCGAACGTCTAGAATATCAAACTGGCGAAGCTGCAAGGTAGACATGGTTGCATGGCTTCACAACAATTGTGCTCATCCCAGGAGATACCATTCTGGTGGCTGCAGAACGCCCTTCAGTTGTTGAGGACGCTATTCGGATAATGCGTGGGAATTATGCAATTCCCAGCTCACGCTCTCAATATATGGCACACATGGAGGGTGTGGAAATGGGAATTGCATAGATGCCAGTTCAGCGGCTCGCTGGTGATTGTCGGCACGTGCAGCAGCGGTGGTAAGCAGCTTGCTGTTGCTGAAGATCTGCAAATGCCCCAAGTTTGGGAATAGCACAGGCTCCCCTGCGCCCATGCTGGGAAAGCTCACGGCCGCCACCTTCCCATCACTCGGTAGTGCACGATCTTGCACAACAACGAATTCCCACTTCACACATGGCTGCATGGCGATCGCACAGGGGCGTACAAACGTATGTGTGTACAGCAACATACATGCAGCCAAGTCGCGCCGTGTTGGTTGGTTGTGTGGCGCTGACACACTCGCATGACAACTCATGATGTGGGAATCGGGGCGTCTGGAGTTCAGACTCTGGACCAAATTTTGGCGAGGTGGCTGCAGATTCCTGGGGTATGTCTCAACCTCGGTGTGCAGTGGGCACACATGACATGACCACCACGTTTCGTCACATCGTGCACGAGGCCATCATCATCGCATTCCTTGTTTTGATAGCCTTTGCTACATGGCAATGCAGAGGGCTTGTCACCAGATTGGGAACATCGGGCAATGGACGTACGTATATGATTGTAGTTGCCAAGTTCTCAGTTCCAAGCACACTGGCCAAGCGCTGTGGATGCCGTGGACAGTCGTACAAACAGCATCTATTCTTTCAGCTGCACCAGCCATTTCGAGCCATAGAATGAATAACACAGACGTCGGCACCAACTATCGTCAAGCCTCGTATATTGGCCTTCGAGCTCCTGAGCACACGCGCTAGAGCACTGCTCGCACGTGCCATTGGGAAATCCTCCTGGCCAAACAACCATCTACAGTCGCATCAATTTGCTCACAGAAACAGTCAGCTCGAGTGGCAGCGAGGGTACCATCTACAGTCTCATTTGCGCCGGGGAATTGACGGCAGTCAATCAATCAACGGTGGAATCGACACAAACCTATTGCTGCGAATCCAGGTGCCCTGTTCTGTAAAAAATGATGGTGATGATGGATCCCGGTGCATTGTTGACCCGCTTTGCCATGGAATCCCCCCCCAAGAGAAGTACACGAGCGTCGCGACGCGCAGTCCGTCGCAACGTACTTCGACCTGCCGCAAGGCAACGCCCCGTGCCAATCCGCAGCAAGGCCCCCCGCCCCGCAGTCCCCCCTTCCCCCACGGCCACCTGCCTATCTCTTGGCCCGCTTCTGCCGGCCACCCTCCGCACCCGCACCGCGCGTCTCGATCAGCCCCTCCCTCCACAGTTCCGTCACGAACCCGATCCTCTCCGCCTCCCCCTCCACCCCCTTCAACTCCGCCACGGCCACGCCCTCGTCCCCGCTGCCCACGATCTGCGCCAGCGGCTCCGCCAGCGCCGCCCTCAGCACCAGCACGCACTGCCCGTCCTCATCCTCCTCGCTGCCCTCCTCCCCGTCGCCATCCATCCCCTCAATGTCGTCATCCCCGTCAGATTGCGACTCCTCGCTGCGCTCCTCCTCCTCCTCTTCGGACTCCTCCCCGCCGGCCATCATGTGCCCCTGCACCGAATTCTTCATGCAGGTGAGCAGCTGGACGGCGTGGTCCACGCCGACGGGTTCCTCCCCGGCCTCGACGCGCGCCAGCCGCATCAGCCCGTCGCCCCTGCGCCTCACCCTGTCGCCCGGCCCCGGCGCGGGCCCGCGGGGCCGCAGGCCCCCCTCTGGCGGCGGCATCCTCCCCCCAACGAAGTCCTCCGCCATGGCGTCCGCGGCGCTCCTCACCAGGCCGTCGTGCTTCTCCAGAACGTCCGCCAGAGCTCTCAAACGGGCGGCCAGCTCCTTAGCCGCGTCCCTGGACGCGTCGGGCGCCTCCAGGGGGTGCGTGCCCACGCCGTACACAAACCCGTGCGGCAAGCCCTGCCGGAGGCAGTGCGGCGCGCAATCCGGCCCCTTCTGGGCCATCACGGCCCCCTGGACGACCGTGGCTGCAAGGTCCCCCCAGGTCCACCTCTGGTAGGTGGAGATCGTCAGATGGACCGATGCGCCGTCCTGCGCCACGGCTTGATGCACGATCCCTCGCGGAACGTAGAGGACGTCGCCCACGTGGAGCGTGACCTCCAGGATGGGCGGGCCCAGCTCCTCCTGGGCCAGGTCCTTGGAGGGCAGGCTGGGCAGGCCGTGGCCGCCGATCGGGCCGTACAGGCGCCACGCCTTGCAGCCCTCCGTCTGGCAGACGAACAGCTCCACGTCGTCGTGGTGCGGTGCCAGCCCCTGGGTGCCCCCGGGGGTCACGTACGCGTTGCAGCCCACCAGGCAGCCCAGCTGGCTCTCCAGCCTCGCGCACAGGGCCCTGAGAGCCGGTGTGTACCTCTGCGGCTGGATCACCTGCGGGATGCGAAGATTCGGCGTCAAGGGAGGGGAGAAACCCTGCCCGGCATGAGCACGGGCAACCTGACTCCCGACAGAAGATGGCGAGACTCCGAGACGAATTTCCATGCCGCGACGGGGAATTTGGAAATGCCCGATGTCGGGACGGGGGTGCACGACACGGTGGGGGCACCTGGAGGGTGCAGCCGTCCTCGAACAGGCTCCAGATCGCGTCGCAGCCGCTGACGTCCCCGCCCACCGTCTCGCGCTCGCCGCTCAGGTACCTTGCCGCAATGACGTCCGCGCCCAGCCGGAACGCCCCGCCGCCCTTGGCCGCGTCCCTGGCGCGCATCGCCTCCGTCAGGCTCCGCCTGTTGAACAGGCCCGCGAACGCCTGGCGCCGCTCATCATCCCCTTTGAAGAGCTTGGGTCCGGCCTCCCAGTCCGCGGCGATGAAGGCGTCCTGCTTCTGCGGGGACACGAGGTATTGCAGCGCGTTGAAGTCGGGGGAGCCGTCCATGGCGCGGGCTGGCGCGCTGCGGCAGTGGGGTGGGTCGGCAAGGGCGCGGAGTGGGCAGCCCGCAGGTCGAGCACAGCGGCGCCGCCTCCGCGGCGCCTCTTGTAGGGCGGACGCATCGATGTACGGTGAAATACGGGCGGCGCACGCTGCGAGAATTTTTTTATCCTCACCACCTCACTCAATTTTACATGACAATGTTGTAACTAGAACTGATTGAGCATTATTAACAGCTGGACGCATAAAAAGAGGTGATGAGGCATCAGGAACTGCGTTGAGGACATTGATAAACGGACCGGATGACAGGGAGAGATTCCTGGCCCTTCACTCCGCTGTCAACTGTTGCCGTTTACTCGAGCCTGCTGTCCCCAGTCAGTGGTCGCCACCCCTCGACCCTGCCTGCCTTCGTCAGCATAACGAGGCAATGAGGCAGCCGTCCGCTTCCCATTTCGCCCGGGCAAAGCAGCGTCCATGATCAGTTCATTGGAGTCAAATGGATAACACAAACACTCACAAGAATTCATGAACTCCTAAAACCAAGTAGCGTTTGTCAATGACAACAAATGGGAAGATGTGTCCTCGCCAGTTGGTGAACGGGGAACTGAAACAATGGCACTCGCGAGGTTTTTTAATTGCAACCTTAGTCATTTAGAGATGGCACTTTGTGTGTGTCAAGTTTCGTATGTTGGTGCGCTGCACTTGCGTCAAACTGGCTCTAAGCTCGACGCGCCGCACAAGCAGACATCTCTGAAGGGAAACTGTGCCAGATCCCCGTGCGCTGGGCATCCAACGCCTTCCTATTCGACCTGTTTCCTTCAGGGGCTATTCCCAGATCGATGGAGAAACATGCTGACGGTTAAACAGGTGCGGATCGGGCCCGTTGCCAGGTGCGTCATGGCAGGAAGGCAAGGGCTAGGCGCAAGCCCGTTCAAAGTGGATTGGGCTCAGCCTCAGTTAGGGCTGGGTCGAAGCCCCTTTTTTTCCCAAGTGCGGCCTGTTTTGCACAGAAACGGAGAGCGTAGCCGCATGGATGTCTGTGGAGACGGCCAGAGCGGTCTGCAACGCTGAATAGAGCGCCGGCCATCAGCGACTACCGCAGACACTAACTGACGGCGGCATCTTGCAGCATTGGTTTCCTGAGTGTCAGTGGCTGTGTCGGCAGTTTGGGACAGGACGTTGCAGATGCAGGCTTTGGCATCGATCGCCACATCGGTGCCTCGTTACGACTTGCCAATGGTGACAAGTGTGATCAATGGGCCACTGTCTGTGTCTCAGAAGTGTCTGGGGCAGTCTGCTTGCCCAAGGAGCTCAACACTAGCACCTATACGCAACATGCAAGCTGAACATTCGCCGTGGTCAACTGTAGTGCAGCGCCACTTGCACAACACTGATCATGCAAGCGGCCCCACAATGCCTTTGGTCAATGCCGTTCGGCATCTTGCATGTGCACAAATACCACCAAGTCACACTCTCCAACACTGTTGTATGATTTGTCATCTACAACCTGCTCATATGCCAGCGAGTCCTTGCCCATGCTCGTTTGACGATCGCGCATCTGGGCAGATGTCCTCAGAAGTTAGAATTTACAGCCAACCCAAAAATCCAACAAAAACAGATATCGTTCATCGAATACACATTCCCCTTGTGCACACCCACATCCCCTCAATAGTCGTTTCCAGCACGCACTGACCTATCTTTCTCGCCATTGGGCTGGTAACGCCCCCAATGTTATTCAACTCATCCTAAAAGAATGCAAGAATATGCTCCTCCCCTGCCCTGTCTTCCTTCTAATCCTCACAGAGGTGCTCCTCAACCCAGAGCACCAGCCTGGTCAGTCACATGCAGCCCCTCACAAATAAAAAACACGGCAAAAGAAGGCTATCTCGACACGCTAGCCCAGCGAACGAGTCAATTCGCAATCTGTGGGCCAGCACTCTCCCACTACTGGAAGGCATTGGAAGCCAAAGGCTTAGTCTTGAAGAAATCAACTAAGTGTGGCCTGCATCAAAATCACAGAAACCAGTCTCCAGCAATTGGCTGCCAACAACAATCCGGTTCTCCAGAGGGACCGCACTGTAACGAGCAAGCGATTTTTCTCAGTCTGTCATGTGCCCTGCACATGCAACATTTCATGGACACCAGCTGCCTGTTCGCACCACAACAGGAGTGGCTGTCTGCGCTGGAGCATCCTGACCATCAAAAGTCCATCTCAACATCAGCCTTCCCATCTGCACACAACTCCTGCACTTTCACCTCTCCCACGTCGACCGGCTGCACCCAATCTGTCCCGATGCTTCCTGGCTGGCTCTCAGCCAGAACGCACCTTGGCCTCCCTCGGGGCAGTGCGTGAACAGCTGTACCCATTTTTCCAGCCTTAACCTTCCATCTCGCATTTTCTGCCTTTTGGCCAACGTCTGCATCACCATGCCCATTGCAAGCCATAACCTGCGGCTCCATTTTCCCCGCAAGGCACCCTGCCTGAACCCCTTCAGACCATTTGCCCCCAACAGGCTGATCGCCTGGGCTATTGCGCAAACTCAGACTCTTGATGTGAAGGAGGGTTTGGGCTGCATAGTCATCGGAGTGGCAGTTGGTGGTCGTCTCCACACTGCCTGTTTCTGACAGCCAACGCCTCACTTCCATCGCAGGCATCCAATTGTGACTCCCATCATCCTCAAAAAACGAAAGGATCACAGAGCTTTTGCGCTTTGGGTCTTTCTTCACCACTCTGGCCCTGAGCACAACACCTCAGCATTCAATGGCAGCTGGTTTCAAGCCAGACGCTTCAGCACATTCAAGTTCTTGCAAGCAGAAAGGCCAATCTGGGATCAACAAGCGCCAAACCTTGCATGAGCGGACCATGTAAACAAGATCCTCGGGCATCGGCACTGAAACACGTCCAACACTGGCACTGTCTAAGCAAACACTACCAGCCTCAATGTGGCAGATGATAACGGCAGAAGCTGGCAGAAATGCCGATGGAATCCAAGGAGGAAGATGACGGTGCCAGATAATACCACACACACTGCCACCACAAGACATGGCACACGTTAAAGGAATGGACTACAGTAAACAGGGCGTGCCAGAGTGTACCTTGAAACTGACTCGGTATGCCCATGCACTTTCGAACACATGCTAAACAATGGCCTGATGCTCAGAAAACCGCACAAACCACAAACTGGCAACCGGAAGGTTGGAGATTAGCAATGGCGACCATGCAATCACCACTATGGGTCCTCCAGGAGAGGAATGCCACCTGTTCGGGCACCAAGGCATTGATAAGGCAAAGCACAGTCCTTGCCATGAAAAACAGCACTGGTATTGTAATGCGCTGTTTACAAAATGTGATCCACGGAATCGCGACATGACTCACTAATTGATTAACTCATCGCACAACCATCACCGTGTCAATCAACATACCTGTAGAACATTCCAGGGACGCTGATGCCATACTCGGTGGCTGGGATGTGCACAATTTTCCCAACGAGGTCGCCAACTTCAGGGTCCGATTTCTGTGCCGGCTTCCCAAAAGTCGCCTTTCGCTTCCCCCTTGGCCATCTGCCTCTGGCAGGCATGCCTTCACACCCCAGCTTGATGGCGCCAGTTCTAAGACGCACACACACACATGAAGCCACTCTCAAAACGGGAAAGCAGCCAGAGTCGGGACTGCGGCACCACCTCATGCGGCGTGCCAAATTGGACACCTCAGCCACCACCAGGGACAGTCACCCGGACGCTGCTCAGAACTGGTTCTAATGTACAGAACGCGACTTTCGCCCAATCCCCGCCGGCCCGCTGCGCATTTGGAATCCAATGAATTTCGCCGAAAGTGAGATCCGGGAATTCGGTAATCGCCCCGAAACATGAGAAAGCGCCCCAATACGTTGCGCGGAGCGCTGCCAACGGAACGCAAACCACCGCGCAACGAAGGCCAGCTCTCCAACCGAGCAACCGGGCGCCACAACATCCCCACCATCCGGCGCCCGTCGTCCCGGCGCAACCGCCCGCAACACGGCCTACAGTCTCCAGCCCAGGAGAGCAAACGCCGGGCCAGCTTGGGTCAACACAGAAACGTCGAATTTGCGACAACACAACGCATGCCCACAACATCAAAACTCCGACCGCCCCTGGCGTTGGCAGGGCCAACGACGCCCGCGACGCTGCCCGAGGGCGGAGCTCCGTGGCAGCCAACAGGCTCCCGCGGGGGCCGACCCGTCCCCAGAATTCTCCTCAGCGGCCCGCTGCAGAGGAGTTTGTACGGTTCGAGGGCACCAAACCGTGACAATAGCCCGCTGCGCCTCCGCCCCTGAGCCCCGCCCGTCGATTCGCACGCCGAGGTCTCGGGCAGGTTCAGCGAACTGCCGGGATCCCTGACACGCCCGGCGCCGCTTTCGGCCCACCTCGAGGTAAACAGGCGCACGGTCAGGTCGAGGCCACCGCGCCACTACGGGCGCCGCCGGTACCGGCAAGAGAGAAACGGGCGATGCCCGCCGTCAGCTCACCTACGCTGCGCCCACTCCCGCGCCGACGCCGCCGCGGCTGGCTGTGCGCGGCGCCCGCGGTGCAAGCCCGGCCCGCAGTGCAGGCGGCGATAGGGGCGGGTGGGTAGGTTTTCAGCCGGGAGGGGTGGCCTGCACGTGCCATAATGGCGAGCATGGGCACCCAAGTGCCCGGCGCCCGGAGCGGGGCGGGCCGCGTCGGACCGGATCAAATTTTGAATAAAAAAGCCGGCGGGGGCCCTTTGGCCTGTGTTTCGGCGCCCCGTCACCATTCCAGGGTCGCCGCACGGCGCCGGGCGGTGTTTGGAGCGCGTTTGACAAGCCGGCCAGACGGCGGGCGTGGGCGGGTGGCGCGGGGCGGGAGCGCGGCGCGCGAGCGGGCGCGACTCGGTTCAGGACGCGGCGGCTGGCCAATCGGCCAAGTTTCGCTGGACTCGCGGAGATGAACACGTGACGCTTCGCGCTTTGCTGCGTTCTCCGTGATCGAGCCGCAGCCAAGTCGCTGCGTGAAGTTGCCCGTCCGGAGCGGCGTCGGTCCCGTTCATCGAGCGCCGGTCTGCTGGGGCTCCGCAAACCGAGCGGGGCGCCGCGATCGCACGAGCAACAAATCTGCAGCTGCCGTTCGGACCGTCGACGCCGCCGGGAGTCGCACAACGCCGCGCGAAGCTTGGGCCCGCGTCCTCCGCGACGGGCTCCGCGCCGGCGGTCCGCTGCATTAACGGAGGCGCGAGTGACCAGGGAAGGAGAACGGACGTTCGCGCAGAGGATTCACTGCATCGTTGCGGCTTCATGCTCACCCAGCCATCGCCCTCATAAGCGCCGGTTGGCCAGCTGCGGACCACGCGGCTCCCGCTGGCTCTGCCCAACGTCCCTCAGTCGAACGTCCTCGCGGTCTTGCGTCCCTTCTCGAGCAGTCCCCGGCGTTTCAGCGCGTTCCGAAGCTGTTGGGTCCGTGTTTCGAAACAACGACGTCGGCGGGGCGGACGCCTGCGTCGGTGCGCCGCTGGACGAGACGGCGCCGTCGTCGCTTTCTGGGACGGGCACAGCGAAGAAGCGGCTTTGGCGATGCCGCGCACGGGGCCGCGAAGTCGGGGAGGTTCTGGAGGCGAGGGAGGAATCGGGCCCGCACGTTGACGCGTGCTTTACGATACTGCAGCTGCACAGGCTGCAGGGCGTGTCCAAACAAGGAGGACGGCAGTGTACTTCGCCATGAAGTTTGTACCCTACCTGAGCATCTCCCGGTGCCCCTCCGCAGCGTGTGATTGAATCGCTTGTTGGCTCCGAGCAGTCCTGCCTTCGGCGCAGGAGTGACTTCACAAATTTCTCAACTCTGTCTTGGCCTTTTCTCGGCTTCTTTGCCAAGAAAACGCGCATGTGCACCGCCTTTGCTTGGTCACGAACACTGCCGACCCGCTGTTGAAAGCTCGGCACCGACTGGAGGCTGCTGCCACGCCAATCGACACGCGCGGGTGTATCAAAGCGAAGACTCGCCTTTGAAAGACAGTGTTGCAGGGCCAGGTCACTGTTAATGACTGGTTTTGCAAGGCCAGGTCACTGTTAATCCCATGGAGCCAACCATTTCTTCCAGAAATAACAGAGGGCATGCGGATTGCCAGCGATATCCACCCTGCGTTTCCTGGCCGTCTTCGCCCTCATCCGGTTAGGATTGGCCCCTCCGATGTGCACGGGCCTCGTGCTCTGTGGGCCATGCTATTGAATCCAAAACAAGTTTGGAGGACGATTGGGGGACTCAAATATGTTAGAAAATGATGCTTTGTGGGTCATTCGAATCCCGTTGACCTCGGACGGGTCCACTGCAAAATCTACCACCAACACGTGGTCAAATCTTCTTGAAGGGAAAGACACTCTGTGGCTACCAAGTAATCACCCCACGGGCCCAGTAATGGTCGACGCACGGCCATGAATGGCGTTGAGCGTGGGCTTTGTTGCAAGGTGCGCCCAACGCAGTCGCACTCGGGCAGTCCCGTCCCTCCACAAGATGGTCCTGGCTGGGCTCTGGTTCATTGACTGCAGACCAAGCCTGCTCGCACGCCGATTGATAGCGCGCGGCGAAGGGGGGATGCGGGCGATGCACGACGGCGGACGCTGCCGTTTGTGATGGGCCCCTCTGAATCACCAGCTGGGCACGTTGGCACGCAGCTCAGTTGGTTGTCTCCAGCCTTGGATCTGTGCGAAGGCGAACTGCAGCGTTACCGGGAGCGGCAACCGCGCTGCGGGTCGAACTGAGTCCAGAGGCGCGTCACACACGACCAATGTGCGCATGCCTCTTACCACAAGTCCTCTGAGATTGTGTCGGTTCCAGACTCACCCTCGTGTGTCTGTCGACGGACAGCGCTCAGCGGCCAGTGCCCGCCAACCCGTCGTCCCGTCGTATGTATATGGTCACAGGGCTTTGCCGATGTTTCTATCTCTCTGGCGTCCCTAACGGTCGACACAAACCAGATTAAGCCGAGCGAAACACAACATCCACGGGCGCCTGGAGCAGCTGGCTGGTGGCACTGGAGCGGCTCTGCTTTTGAAGCCACCGCCTCGCGGTCGTGGAGTCTGACGACAGCCCCGAGGTCCCGCGCATGCACAAGCGCACTGGCAGTCAGCTCACTGGCCGAACGCTTCCAGAGGCCACAAACGGTCTGGGCCCATCCCAATGTTCCTCAGGGGGAGCTCCATAGAGGTAACTGAGTAGAGCTGCCCCAGCTAATGGAGCGATCACCGGCGATCTCAATTTCCAGAGCCTGGGTTCTCATGTGAGAGGGCCTTCCCCGCAGAGCCTCTGGGGAAGGACGGGTGCCTTCCGTTGGAAGCCTCCCAATGGTACACGTCCGTAGCCACCAGCGTCCTTTGCAAACCCAAGTTGCCGCACAGGCCACGGCGTGGGTGGCGCACCGACGTGCGGTTGGTCGACCGGTCGCCACCTCGCGACGCTGCTGGTTGTCCCCCTGCGCCATGCCACTCCTGGCCGCCCCCTCTCACGCTCAAAATTCAGTCACACATGACGTCAGCGGCGCACAGCCGTCACCACCGGGAAAGGTCGCGCAGCGGCTTGATGGGCAAATTATGTGGTTGGGCACTGTTGCGGTGGTGGCAGGAGCGCCTCGCGTACTGGCGACGGGCGCCGTGCCTTGAGGTCGCGATAGGCCCCCCGGGGAGCGCCGTCGGCATCGGCAATCGCGCCTGCAACCCTGACAAGTCCCCACACCGCAAGTAGCAAGCACATCCAGAGGTTCCTCGCCCAGTCGTTCTGCTGATTGCGCCCTTTCTGTTTGGTTATGGAAGAGAGGGCTAGGCGACCCGCACGGTAGTAACTGCGCCCCAAAAGCAAGAACAAATTAATGAAGATTCGGAGTACGACGAGAAGGTGACTGGGTTATAATCTCCATGTGAGGCGAGAGACAATCCTTGAAAAGAATTGGCTGTCAGTAAAGTGGTAATGCTGCCGAGCATTGGATATGTCGGGATTTGGGCATGCACCTTTGGCGTGGGTTTCGCACATCACTAAAATTCCACATGTTGAGAACCACGACACCCGAACAGATGAGGCGCCTCTGCATCAGTCTGCAATGCAGAACTTGATTCCATACTGGAATTACATGCTCAGTTGCCCTGCAAATTTACAGTTTTGGCCCTGTAAATTGACGTTTAAACGGACAGTGCAAGCGTTCAGGAGCCAGCGACAGGGTGCCACCTGTCGGGTGGGGCTGGGCTGACGGTGTGTGTGTATTACACAGTGCGGAATACACACAACTCCACATGTCATGCTGTTGTGAATCATGATTCAGTATATATAGTCAATATATATCCATTCAATATGATCATATTTTCGGAAGCTTCAACATGCAGCGGCTTCAAATCTCCATGACACAAATTGTGTCTTGGTGCCGTGCCAGTATTGCCCTTGGCACGCACAGCTTAGCTTAGCTTAGCTGAATCGAGTTGATGCCCAGATGAATCGAACTGGGTGAGCCTGAATTCGGTGAATATTTCAGGAAGGCCTTTCATTTACGCCGTGGAAACTGTAGAAACCGTAAGAAAATGCTGTAGAAACTGTAGAACCGTAGAAATTTACATTTTTGCGCGTAAGAACGGTTTTTACGCTGATTCCCTTTCACGTTTTTACGCATAAATAGGCGTAAAATACGTAAATAAAGGGTAAATAGAGCCACGTG